GTATTGCATCAGGCCCCTGTCTCCATGCTTTTTCATTCTCTAACAAACGATAGGGAAAAAACAACAAGGCATTAACATGCAAAATGTCACCACCTGCCATTTGTTACAGGTGCCAATCACTGAGCAATAAAATATAGTAAAACCTGTATATCTGAACACCTCTCTAATCTGAACATGTCTCAATGTGAACACTTTTTATCTGTTCAAATTGTGTTATCTGCTATAGACTTACATTATCAAGAAACCTCGAAAGGTGAACACCTGCTAATCTGAGCGCTTTTGGCTGGATCCAGTAGTGTTGGATTAGACAGGTTTTACTGTTCATAAAAAATACAGCATCAAGTCCTTATGTTAAACACCGCGCCATTCTCCATTTTGGAGTTAATACAACAATGGGGTAAACAGTGACCCTTTGCAAGACTCATTTCCCAGACACAATAGTTATTAAAGTGACTGTAAGACACAATAAAAAATACATAAAAATAAATAAATAAAATTGATTAATGAAAGAATGAGAGTATGGTAACCTACCCCTTGTAAGCTTGTCATGCTCCTGTTATGAGACCCTTTCCTAAATCCGAGAAAATTCTCAAAGAACTCCATGCCTACTTGTTACAAAATCCACACACATATCTCCTTGAATCAACCATAAACGCCTCTCTGATACATTCATCTAGCTCCTTAATATTGGATGTTTATGGAATTTATTCCTGATCGATCTGGAAGTACCGGACCGGTCATCTTATTGATATCGATATAAACTGGCCAAATGACACTCTAGATCCATACACTGAACGGAATCTATCAAGTCATTAATTCCAGATAAAGCATCCTTACTTCCTATTGTGTCACCTCAAACGGAATAATTGACGTTCGGATACATTGATCTATCTACTTGTAAACAATGGACCTACGGATTTAATTAAGATGGCAATTTGAGAAACTGAATCTTTAATATTATCCAATTTATTAACTGTATCCTCCGTGTGTTTGTGGAATTCCAATATATCATACGATTAAGAATTGTTTCTCATATTGTTGGTACATGAAGCTGATCATCATTATTAATGTGTGAGTGCTCATTTTGAAAGCAAATTGCGAGAGAATTTTTTTTAGTTATGGTTTGAATATTGAATATTAAGACAATCAGGCATCATTGAAACAATGCTAATATCATTCCCATTTTTCAAATGTCAATGCAGACAAATGTTCCCATTAAAAATAAGTATGCAATAGGGAGCACTGCAGAATAATGCTTAGAAGAGTGACCACTCCACTCCAAGAATATATATAGCATAATTAAGGGTAAAGTATCTTATTAAAAATCAATATGTAGAAGGATCAAGACTAAGAATGATAGCAAGTTTTTGGAGAGGAAAAAGCTACCATCTGGGATAAGAAGGCTATATATACAATAAAGGATTAAGATCATAAGATTATCCCTAAAGATTACCTATGTTGTTAAGTAATAGAGCCTTGTCAGGAAATGTGTCAAATTATTATTGTGTCTTAATTATTGATGCCTGCATGTGATCACAAATACTACACATGAGTTTGAAGTACAGTAAAACCTGTGTAGTCGAACACATCTATAAGTAGAACACCTCTGTTAGTGGAACACCTCTATAAGTAGAACACCTCTGTAAGTGGAACACTTCTCAAGAGTCCCAAGACCAAATGACTAAATGTTAAATGAACCTCTATAATTTGAACAACTCCAAAGTGGAACACTTTTATCAAAGGTGTTCTACTTAGACAGGTTTAACTACATAGTAATGAATGCCTCTGGAACCAGTCAAAGGTGTTTGGATTGATAGGTGTTCACATACAAGGTTTGATGAACATGTAAGTCAATGAGAAAATAAATTAAGGATTGAGAAAAAGTGTTCACATCTAGAGGTGTTCAGATTAGAGAGATGTTCGGATATATAAGATTCACTGTATTTTCATCGTTAACTAGTAATATTCACACCAATGCACACTTTTTTAATCCCTCACTAATTTCACACTATTTCACACCAATCTCCATTTTAAAAGACAAACCGTCGTAGCATTTTTCTTGTGCAATAACAACATAAGTGTGAACAGAAAATAATATTATCCAGTAATCGGCAATCCCAAATTACTAAATATGATTAATCTACTAATAATGCGTAATTGGAAAGGATGCTGTTGCCAATATAGTAGACTATTTCAAGGGTCATGCCGCCTGCTTAAGGGACCTTGGGGTTAGAATAGAAGCTGATGCCAGTAACACCCTCTGAATGCTAATGAAATTATACTCTTGACATTAATTAAGATATAAAGCTAAACGAATCTGCTATAGTTAGGTTCTTTCCAGAAATGTTTGTAATAAGGATTTATCAAGATCATCTTTATTGTTTTGAGAAGGTCATATATCATTTCTTTTTTAATTCTTTTGCATTTATATCTAAATAAAGGCGATGATGTAGGATCCTTTGTCCCAATAATAATGATTAGAAAGCGCTAATATGAAAATATTAAATCACTTTTTTATTTCTTATTATCTAATAGATTTTGCCATAATAGGCTCACTTTTATTGGCCTTGAGGTGGTTTATTTTTTCAGTCAAAGTTTCAATATTAATGGAAATACTGAGGGATTCTGAAGGCTAAATGTCTTCATTGAACAAAGCACTAATCCCAAGTATTAGGATCTAAAAGCACCTGCAAGTATGAAGGACTATTAGAACCATTAATTGGACAAATTGGGGGATTAACTCTAAGCATGCAATGAGTGGGGAAAATATATGGAATATATCCATTGTGATGTAACAGCTACCCTGATGTGTGATAATATGATATAACATGTGAAAGCTAAATAGAGTATAGGCAAAATGTTACAACATAAAATGGTCTATTGTTTCACCTATCTGACATATACATTTAAGGGCATGCAAGTACAGAATACACATATACATGTACTTTCAACGAAAACACCTCCCAAATATATAAACACCTCTCCAAACACCTACCTAATTTGAAACACCTATGAAATATGTAAGCACCATTTCAATATGTAAACACATATTCAAACACCTATCTAATATGCAAACACCTATAGAATATAAAATAAAATAAACCTAGTGGATATCTCACATATCCAAACATCTACTCAATATGAAAACACCTATAGAAAATGTCAACACCTAGCTATTCAATATGAAACACCTATTCAGTGTATATAAGCCCTTATCCAGTATGTAAACACCTTTCCGATATGTAAACACCTATCTAATATGTAAAAACCTTTCCAACATGTAAATAAATAATTTTCTCATATGAAAGTACCTACCATTTGATTAAAAAATATATAGACAGATGGGGTGCCTTGAAATCAAAAAAGAAAATGGTACATCACAATTATTCAACAGATATGAGTATAGATATAATTAATTTGACCAAAAACACAAGACTGAGTAATATTGACCACACTTTTCTAGTGCTAAAGCTACTGATCTGATCAATGTAGTAAAGCATCTTATACTTTACACCAATCCTTAAACCCCTTGCTGAATCCATAAATTAGATTAATATCCTTATGATCAAGCATTAAGTTTATGCATTCATGTTCAGAAACTACATAAGACATTGATCCTGTTTGGAATATTTTGAAGATTAAGTATTAAATTTAAATGAGTTATTAATTAATCAATTCATAATAAAGGTGATCACAAAATTTAGACAACCCATCAAACCCTTGTGATCTCCCATAAACATCTGAACTTGAATAAATGTGTAGTAGATAGGGAACCAGTAACTACCCTTATTATTACACATAATTTTGCATTTCTGACACTAATCTAAGATCTGAGCCAATCTCAAATGGAGCCTAGATGTTTATAGGGGTTTATGAGTGAAATGAATGCTAGTGGTACTTATTGGAAGAAAATGTAATGCACTGATTTCATATTCTGATTGATCATAGGATTATCTCTCATATGAAGAGGATAGACAAAGCTATTCTCTTAAAAAGGGTACATACCATAAAGAGTAAGAGTCAGTTTATAAATGTGCAGATCAGCACCTAAATTAGACCATTGGGAAATACATCTCTTGATGCTTGCTGAAAATGTATAGCTGATTGAGCAATTCAAGGCAAGCAAGCAGCCACAAAGCACAAATATATTGATCCACGGGTCTACATTGTATCTTTTATTACTTCATTATGTCAACCCTAAACATTATTTGACAATCCTTCATTGCATCTTCTTGATGAAAAGTAATCCTTATATAAGACATGCCTTAATGCACGAGTTGACAAAAGCAAATAAAACTATGCTGATATCATAAATAATCATGAAATCGCTTTAAGATGGTGGGTGAACCCATCATGAGAAATCATGGCCTTCTATATGCTTCTCACTTGAAGATTTCTAGTTGAAGGCAGAAAGATGTGATGGGTATCAGACTTTCAAGATTTTTAGAAGTTCTTAATAATTCATTGTTTAGTCTTGAAAGAAAAATGATCACATTTGTACTTATACTCCTGCGACACCCACTTCATGTGATGCAATGTAAAATATTTTACAACTAGCTGCTGAGTGAGAAGAACCAAGGGAGTGTACCTTTGACTTACATTTTCTGTTGTACATCCATGTACTGGATGTTACTTTCATTAGGTAAATTAGACTTGTGAAAGGCAGTACAGACTCTTAGAGAATAGCCACAAATCCAACATAAGAGACATCTAATTTGATATAATCTAACAAAAAGTAAATACATTGGGACAGAAAATAGTTCAGCAAGTATCAAATATGTTCAATTGATAAGTGGTAGTTCATGCACATAATTAACATGCAGAATGTCCCTACCTGCCATTTGTTACAGACACCAAACTCCAAATGCTGAATCCCAGCACCGAACAACATCCACAAAAAAGTTGGAGACTACAACAATATGTCACTCCTTGTGTTGGTGACAAAAAATCAACTAAACAAACCCCAGAAGTAAATATCCAAAGGAAACTGTTTTACTTACTGGTTGTTCATTTCTTCCCTTGATGGCTGAAGCATGGTGGGGAAACTTCCTGGCCAAATGATGAAGAAAAACCTGACGTTCACGCTCTATCTCCTGAAAATACAATCAGTAAAATGATGTACCTTCACATAGATATCACAGATTATCACAGATAGATTCACACAGATTGTCACAGTTAATTAAGAACTTATGAATCTATACATGTATGAATAAAGGTCAATTTTTTAATCAGTGTTGGTTCCCACAATCAGTCTCAGGTTTGAACTTGATGAAGGAAGATGGACTACAATCTGACAAACCAACAAAACACATCTATTTGAAATACTCCATACCTATAAGTCAAGTAAAACTTTTTCTTCTAACAATTAAAATTTATGATTCGATATTTTTCAGAAATAATTCTCCAGGTTGAAAATCTTAAATGCAATATCCATTTAATATATTCAAGTTTTAATTGATAAAGCCTGTAACTTCAGATTCGAAAAATCATCTACCGCATTTTCAATTTCAATTTATTAAATATATATGCATACAACAATACAAAGATGATGAAGGGAGCAAGACACCACTGAAAGGTGTATGGTGCCCCCTATAACAATAAAAGATTCATATGAATTAGCAATTGAAGAATGTACATTTATTTGTTATAATCATTTCAAACTGGTTGCCTGTCTTGGATATCCCATTGAATGGAAGCGATGAGTTGATATGCAAATATTCTTATATAGAGATATTCCACATGAAGTATTTGTACTTGTATTACCTGAGGAGTCTTATATCTGTAAGTGTAATTACGTTGCATCCTCATCATTGTTGCATTTGCATATTCTACCTCTCAGGTAAATTCAGGTAAGGCATATAGTCATTAACAATAATCAATTCCTAATCTCTAAAAAACACCCTGACTTAGATTCTACATGTACTGGTAGATATCATATCCCAAGATATTACTGCTACTGTTACTGTCCTGTCAATGGCCATTTGTTAATCATGATGCATTATGGGACGAGGCAATTCCTCATTTGCATTTCATCTCTTAAAACTAGAAAATATAAGATATTTTGTCCATCAAGTGCTCTAATTTTCAAATACATGACATCTCTGCTCTCGTATTCTCAGTTAAACATAGTCTCTCATTCCTTTAATTGAAAAGTAAACAAGAAAACCAGGATGAATTCCAAATTGTGGTTTCTAATATTTGGTTTATATCCATCACAGGTGAAACATGGCTTCAGACTCAGACAAGATGTTACTTCTGTAAGCAAGGAGCCATGTTTAATTATATTATGTTTATGTTTTCCTAATATTGAATAACACCCCCAGGCCAAGATGATCATCGATCTCAAGCCTTTGGTCAAGTTTAAGAACTATATCTTGTACTGCAACAACACAACCTCAGATTGGCAGACTTTCATTCTATTGCTCAAAGTATTTTTCTTACTTGCATCCAGATGCCCAAGAGATAAAGATGTGGCTTAAATACCACAATGATAGAGTTTTTATGTGTCTCTTGTCCTGCATCCTGGAGAATGAGGTCGTCACACTGGGCAGTTAGTAGAACTAATTTATGTCTGATAAAAATAATTCAAAATCATAATTCAAAACCTTTGCTCTGGGACATATATGTACATTGAGTGAATGGGTTTTGCTATCATAAATATTTTGGGCTGGTATTTATTAATTAGCATAGGCACCTTTTTGCCTTATGTTTCTGATCATTTCAATACAAAAATGTGAAAATCGTTGGAATACTACTCTGAACTGTTACATCAAATGGGAAATAAGTAAATAGGCTAAGAATTTGGGCATCATTGCCTAAGCATTACACCATCCCCCTCATGGCCAAAAAGGCAAACACATTTCCTTATAATCCATATGAAAAATTGACCACCTTGAATAATGATCTAACTTTAAAATGATATATACATATGCATACAGACAGGAAACTATGGTGGCTTTGTGAAGTTATACCATATTCCTTGACCCAAAAACAGTCCTTTAGTCCCAGGCCTTCTGTGAGGTGATCATTATTGGAAGTCATGAAGCAACTGTTGCAACATGTGTTTTACTACCAACAGTTGTTTCAACAACATACTGAAAACACATGAGCAACAGTGTAATCATGGTTCAGTCTGGTCAACGGATGCTATAATAACAGACAAAATAAACAGTTCAAGAGATTGTTGGACCTCCATCAATGAGCATAATTGATACAGCATGAAGATTGTTATAAAACTCAAATTCTCTGTGATTTTGCAGCAATCCCTGACTTTTGGCATAAAGACCCTAAATCTAAGGCTACTATACAGGTCTTGGAGGAGACACCCAGATGTTTATGCAGACAGATAGACTCCCATCATTTAATATAAGTAAGACAAAAGTAAGACAAAAGTCATCCAAGTCCACAAAAAATCTGACCAATCAATCATTTTTTAGATATGATGTTTTTTTCAACTTTTTTGCCCATGCAACCACCAAAATATTTTTCAAGTAAAATCCTCAAAACACACCTCATTCCCTTCATATCATTTATAATCACTCCAAGTTATAATATAAAATCACAACTGTTCTACAGCTAGATAGCACTAACTGCAATGGCAGATAAAATATCTGGGTATTTTAAAGAAACATTTACTGATATTTCACTTGAAACATACAGCCAGGTATAAAAAAAACTAATTAATCCAGGTATTTTTGTTACATTGCAATGTTACATTTTTGTGTTTACTGACAATGTATTTTGATTCAATATATGATTCAGCTCACAGAAATCAAATATTTCCATATATAATTTCAAAAAAAGATTTTTTCTGCCATTTTATTTACATAAACTGCAGTTAGTGTCATCAAGTTGTGGAACAGTGATCATTGATCCTAATAAATACTTAAATTCTACCATTACATACTTACCTTAGCGCAAAGATATTCGAAATTCCTCCGTTGTTTTCTCAACTTTACACCTGAAGGTCGCCTTGACCTGGTACAGTTTAACATACAGAGGCCCATAACTTCAAGAGAATATTTCAAAACAAAACTATTCTTGAGTGATTGGACTCTTCGAGCGCCAGTTGTATCTATCCATTATACTGTTATATAGAAAGGTTAGCCCATGTAAATCTTAAGGATCCATGGGTTCATTAGGTGCTTATCTATAGAATCTATAATATGTTTAATTTTTGATTTTTTCTCACTATCTTAAAAATATCTCCGCAATATGTTTTATAACTGGCAAAGGTAAATCCAGGAATTCTTCAGTTCATTAAGTGCTTGGTCCATTTACATTCAGTCTATATTCTGGTGTATTTATTTATTTTTGAGGTTATTTCAGAGATCTATGCAATATGTTTTCTTGCCCGACAGCTGCTAAATCAATCGATTCTAAGTGTTTGTATATTATTAATAATCTAATATCATTTTGATTTATCAAAACATGTCCTTCAATGTCTTAATCAATGTCCGTTTTTCAGATTTCCAAATGCTTTGAAAAATGTGATATATATTTTGTGTATCCAATGGTTATAGGTTCACAGTTGGTTATCCTGCGCACAGTATCTTGTTATACCAAAGATGAAGCTCTCTTTTAAGAGGTGAAGTGAACAAATGCAAAAGGTAACAGTTGGTTGGGATGATTGTTTCCAAATTCACTTTGTAATTCATTCCAAAGTATTTCGTAATAGAGCGCAATATGGGTTGTTTGTTTCACAGTTTCCTACATATTGCTTCAGATGTTTTCCATTGCATTTGTAACAGTTTTTAACATACTTGCAGTTTTGGATAATTTTGCTCACAAGCCATAATATTCTTACATTTTGTAATCCTTTATGTTCAAGATTCAAAAGTAAATAGATATTCTTTATGCTTTTATGAAGACTAATCCAATGGTTCAAGACATTTCTTAAATCCAATTTGGTGTTGTACATATAACAGTATTTATGATTTTCCCATCTTAACGTGATTTTCAACAACAAACACAGGTTACCATTGCATCATACTTAAACGGACTGGCATCAATTAATGGAAAGTGAACTATAAACAGAAACTTTCAGAAAAAATGCTATCAATTTTATCATTTTTCTGCTTTTAAACTTAACTTCTGGATTTTTCATTTTTCGTAAATTGTGGAAGGCTCCCTACAAAATATGGACCAACGTACCTGTCCAAGCTAAGAAAAAATCTGAGGTAATCCTCATGGAAAAATTTAATGAGGACCCAACACCCACGTTGGTGGGAAGAACTTATATAACCTAGGCATGTTATTTTATTAATGTTATCTTTCAGCCATGTAGTTGTAAATCTAGTATATATGATCACCCAAGTCTCAAAGGAGATCCCAGTGAATGGAGCATTGGCTAATTTTACTTTTTTCAATATATTTACTGTTTACAATCTCCGTCAAAATCAGCAGACAAGAACGCTGAACTGATCATTTTGTAAGTGAAACAGACATAAACAGCCAGCTTCCAGATACTTCGAAAACAACATATTTTGTATATAGGTACTATCCTAAATGCTAATTTAATGTACCAAAAGGTTCCATCTCAAGTGACTGCACCGATCCATGCTATTAATTTGATAGACATACGCTTAATGTTGAATACCATAAAACATTTCAAGATCGTCCATTCTTGTTCCTTTACGAAAGTAGATCTATGAATCTATCCTGTTAAATTCCATCGTGTACATATTTATGTACAGTACTCCCAATTCTTTTATATTACATCTTCCAAGATGTAAATATTTATGTACAGTAATAATAGTCTGAGTTATTCCGCATTTGTTCTTCCATCTTGAACATGTGCCCTCGTATACTTAGATACCTTTTAGCAAACAACCCAACAAGACATAAACTAAAAGACAATATAACTACATAACAGAAATACCTCCCTCAAGTTAAACACTAAGATGATGGAATTCTATAATAACAAGAGACCAACAATAGATATTTTTAAAAAAACAGAGTCAAGATATTATTCTAGCCATTACTTCACATGCATGATACTGAGACTCAACCCCAAACTGAAAATTGTCAGAAAATTAAATAAATAAAAAATATAATGTCTGTTTTGATACAATATTCAAGGGAAATAGGAAACCTTTGTGTAAATGCCATAACACCTGTGTCTGGATTTGAAGAACGCATTATTTTACCTGTTACAAAATATGAAGTACAAAACTCATATATTTCATTTTGTCATTCTAGAACTTTAAGCGAACGTTTTTATATCTTGGATATTGTTTTATGTGTCTTGGGTTTGAAGAAAGCATTATTTTACTTGCTACAAATATGGAGTACATAAATCATATTTTTCATTTTGTCATTCTAGAAAATGTGATGTTTCAGTATCTTAAACATTGTTTTCCAATTGGGAAAAAATAATAAACCTTTGAAAAACCTTTGAAATAGAGCATTTTTCCCGAAACTAATTGAATGACCTGGTATATTCGAACCTTTATTACATCATACCAATCTATCTTAACACTGGGTTATCTCAACACTTTGTTCCAAGCTCTTGGGGCAACAAAAACATCCTAACCCAACATGTGGAGAAATTGATAGCCCCAGAGGATAAAAATCATATCTCACATTCAGAAGTTATCCTATAAATAGCAAATGAACTCATGTGATTTATGTTTTACTGGAAAATGTTTGTCTACATAGGTCTAGAAAGATGAATTGAATTCCTAAAAATACATTTGATGATGCAAAAAGATGAATGAAAATAGAATGAGATAAACATTACAGAAATAGAATGCAAAGTTACGTTGATTAGGACTTTTGAAAGAGTAATATGGTTTATTTCTTCGTATAGCGCAACATTTATCTTGAAAAAAAAATATAAGACACTTGTGCAGTAACTTACCAAGATATAAAATATTAATATAAAGTACAGCAGTGACATCTTTAAATGAAAAAATTAATTTATTTGTCATAAACTCATGTCTTCTTTAGAAAAATGAATTCTTTTTTCAAAACTGCATTTTTATAATTTCTTGCATTTTATACAATAAGAGTTGACATTATGTAAGAGGTGATAACAACATAATAAAACATGGCATTTGTCAATCATATGGTGTTCTAGGCAGATTCCTTGACAATTTCCTTCAATACTTACCCTTTTCTAGAGTGGTTTAACAATTACTACCTAGCCTCTAAACTTAAAGGTACTCAATTCTAGCTTTGCATCAGGACCCTGTGTTTGTGTTATTTCCTTACTCCATTCTGCCTCTTATATAAAGGTTGGAAAATACATTACGAGAGGGTCTAGAGACTTTATGCAAGAACATTTCAGTTCAACTCTTTTGCATGAACCCCTTGTACTGTTCCTCCCTTCTCCTCTAACACGAGGTGAGAAATTTATATCAAGGAAAGAGTACAATGTAAGATTATTTATTTAATTTAAAGAGAACTCACCTTCGGCTGTTTGGTTTTCTCCAGACCCATGCTTCCTGAAAGTGTATGACGTCGAGGCTCTTCTTTGGCTAAAGATGGCGACACATATTTACGATTTTCATTGTCTTTTGGATTAGTTACACGTAATCCTCCATTCTTTTTCCCGGTTCTCTCCAGGGAGGTTTTCTTTGTGTCTTCTGAAAATATACGAGAAAAACAAAATGAAGTTGTGATTCTGGAAAATTAAATATTTAGTGTCTTATAAAGGAGAACTTGAGCTTATTTAACAACCATAAATAGAAGTATGGGAAATGCTTTTATTTAGCAGACACGAAGCCACAAATTTCTCGACTTTTGATTGATTTAAAATTATGTATTCCTATTAACTCATTGATATTACCATGGGCTTTCAACAAGACTCTAATTGAAAGCCCATGATATTACAACAAATAGAAAATATGGGAATTAGTTGATAATAGGCATGTATTTAACCAGTTAATTATTTTACCCATTACCTATTTATTTTATTGCCCAAATAGAAAGGCTATACAGAGTTGTGATCTTATACTTTTAAAATGCCATAAACAGAGTATGATGCATTCAAGCATGACCCACACATGTTGAAGTAATTAACATCTGATATTGTTGTGTAAAGCTACATGGATCATGTTCCATGATGTTAGGCAACAAGCTCTCTTCATTATAGAAGGAAACATTCATTTACATGCCCAAAATTTAGCTTCATATGCTTGTAAGTGTCTCTATACAAGAAAAGATATTTCACTTCTTCTAATTTTAAAACATGGGGTGTAATGCAGGCCCGTAGCCAGGATTAGCCAAGGGGGGTTCATATTTTGAAAAATTCTGGAGAGGGGTTCACTTTTGAAAAAGACCCAAGAGTGGCCCAAATCACTTAAAAGTGCTCAGAATGGTGAAAAACTGCATGATTTTGCCAAGGGGGGGGGGGGGGGGGTTCTCTGGCTATCGTTAATTTGTATAATTATATCAGAATAAACACTTTACAGTCAATAATGATAATTTTACCAAGGATTGGTATAAAATCAACATCAATAATGATAATTTTTCCAAGGATTGGTATAAAATCAACATCAATAGAAGTGATGATCCCGAAACTATTTACGATGATTTTATATCAATCATATATTACCTCACCAATGGAGCTATCAATGCTATTATATGACCTTTTCGAGCAATAAATCTGGCTGGCATTCTTGATCAATAAGCTCTCAACTCTTCCATATAAAATAACAGGAATCAGACATTCTCGGCAGAAACAACAAAAAAAAGAGTCCCCCCAAACATAAGGCAAAAATGTGTGTGTAAGTAAAGATACATAAAAGTAAATTTTTACATAGTAGAGGTAGTTCAGATTTTAAATGTCACTCGTGTTCAATAGAAAGAATATAGTACAATTTCATGATACGATGATATGAATCCACGGGGAGACCTAGTTGATTATAACTTTCACTTAGCCTAATAAGGCAGATAGAACGATGATCATTCATTCATCTAACCTTTGATGATAAAATATATAGCAAAAAGTCACTACCTGCCATTTTTTACAGAAGCCCAATGTTGAACACCAACTGTTAACTCTGAATGGTTAACACCACCACCAAACATCATCCACAAAAAATGTGGAGACTATAACAATATGTCACCACAATCTGGTGGTGACATAATACTAAAAATTCAGTATGTCTTAACCTCTATCCCAAAAAATAAAATAGTTTCCACTCTAGAATAGTTGATTCTTTATACTTAAGGGCCGCGCCTGGAGAGCCTTAAAATTTAAGGCTCTCTAGCCAAATGGGTTACCAAAATGCTAAAGAGCCTTAAATTTTAAGGTTCTTTAGCATTTTGGCTAAAGAGCCTTAAATTTTAAGGCTCTTAAGGATTTTGATAGCCAATTCTGCTAGAGAGCCTTAAAGGAATTCCAGGCGACAGAAATGACGAAATATTGCTTCTGGGACAAGATCAAACGACTTTGACATATTCTATACCCAACCTATTTTGTAATTTAACAATCAGCACAAATATACATACCATATTAGCACATATCGGACAAATTCAAAAAGAAAATTTTTTTGATCGATAAAATCACTGATTATTAAACCGGAAGTGTCTTCTCTGAGGTCCGCGAAGATGAAGAAGATAACATATAAAGATTTCAGTCATTTCAACTAACTTTGCTGTCGATTTGATTTACATGGTTTTAAATGATCTTCTAATGCTTACTATGACTTCTATTAGTACTGTTTTGACTTCCCCACTTCATAAAAAAACATTATCACTTTTTGCTCGACTCATAAATTTACTTCCGGTCTACCGAGAGAAATAATGTTTTCAATCCTCAGTCTAAATTTGGCTTTTTAAAGGTTCAAACATCGATTTTGAAAAGTAAATGTTTGTTTGTTTGATGTTCATGCATATATCGAAAATATATGTCTCTGGTTCACCAGAGAACGTGTAAGACCAGGCAATCACGTATAGCCAGAAAATGTTATTTTTTCCATTTTATCCACTATAAATCGCAACGTCCGTTTAGTAAAGATTTTGATGTACAGTATAGACATTTATTGATGGATTGGAGGCTAGGATAAAAATGTTGTTGTGTAAGCCGCTGTTTCCTCGATCGGCAGTTTACCTCTTGTACTGTAAATTTTCTTTGTGCTCATGTGCTTTTAAAAATTCTCACTTGTGAGGAAAATATTATGCAAAAATATCTCGTCACGTGAAAAATTCTAAAATCAGCATTGAAATCTAATGGGCAATAGATTTGGAAGTGTATTCTGTGATGTCCCTGGGCTGATGTCCCTGCATTCACGATAAACTTCGTCAAGATGTGCTGATCTAGAAGAAACAAGATCCTTTTTCATCCCCAGGTCTTCATCATACTTTTTGCCATCTTAAAATGGGATTCCCTGTATTCTCGTGACTATAGCAAAGGCAATACAAGTGATTAATTTCATTAAACATTGATGATTGAGCGATAGAGCAAGCCCAAGAATTCTAGAAAAAATTGTGTACATAATTTCCGGACCTCAGAGAACAAACTTCCGGCTTGTTTTTCAAAATAAAAAGTGCTCAGTCGGGGAATCGAACCCACGCCGCAGGAGTGGAAAGCTAGCACCCTAACCACTATACCAGAGTGTTTTACCATGATAGGACTAATTCTTTTGCAACCCTATAGTAATATACATGTGTGAAGTTTTTAAGTGGCATTCTGGGTTGAAAAACTTTCGAGAGTGTTGTTTTATTGTTTAGATGACGAAAACTTCAATAAAAAACAATATAAACACGGATTATAAACACAAAGGCTCTCTAGCCAAAACACTATGTTCACAGCTAAATAGCCTTAAATTTTAAGGCTCTTTAGCATTTTAGCTAAAGAGCCTTAAATTTTAAGGTACTCCAGACACTTCGATTCTTTATACTGATTCTCAGAATATATATAAAACAACAAAATTAAGTAATCAATCAAATTCAATTAGTTCAATTATTCTTCAAATATCACCTAATGGGCTTCCCATTTAGAACCCCATGGAGTGCTCTATGAACAGTAAGTGAAATATATTGATCAAAACAGGATCAAATAGGGAAGTGGTTTCATATTTCATAACTAAAGATAATTGACATTTAATTTTCAAATTCATTTTCAGTTACTACGAAGTGAAGATGAAGTACAATACATATATAATTTTAAAAAATTAAAATGTCTTATTAGTTTAATTCTTTATTCAATTTAAAATAATGAATCATATATTTGCTCTTAAAAATACAACAATCATTTGATCTGAAAAATGTTAGTCTCAATACAAAGATAATACGAAATAATAAAGATACTTGTATAGGTTAGAATCCAGACTCAAACTTACCCTCTAAATGTCTAATTTTTTTCTTAGTATAAATATCCAGAAAATATCGCCAGTCTTGCGACTGCCAATCGGTTTGAGTTTCAAATCCATACTCATCAATATCCTCAGCCATTCTGACTTTTTACACCTATTCTAAATCCAGCCAACCTCTATCCTCCAATTAGTACCATGTCAACGATGTTTCAAGATAAAAACCCTTGTGATACATTCCATAGACTCTTAAGAGATTCTAGTGTTAATTAAAACTATGTATCCTCTGTATTCAATTGTATACTTTGGTTGGCTAAATTAAATCCATTTAGAAATCTAAACTGAAAATGTTCCTATTGCTATGATTTCAAATTGAAACCCCTGTTTGTATCCATCCAGTATTGGCTCTTGATAAGATATCGTAATGTAATGTTGATTTATATTGCTAATAGATGAACTCAAGTGCTTTTATAAATATTGCTGACATTTTAGAGTTTGCCTCCTGTGATATTCTGCAGTTGATATGTAAACCAAATTGAATGTTAAAAAAAACCTTGCTTTTTTAAAATGTTATTTTTGTGATATATATATCTACATAAATTCTGCTTTTGATGTTTGCCAAATGCGCTATACTCGTACTCATCTATTTACCGGAGAATTAAAATCCATGTTCTCGACAGACCTTGCCTGTTCAGAACTGCTCATATGTAATATAATCCTAAACTTTTATATCACTTTTAAGTATACAACATTTTAATCTTGTGTTTTTCAATGTTTGCCTTTTAAGATATGCTGCTTCTATCGCACGCTCCAGCCTTAAGAAGACAGGTCCTTATGACATAGATCAATCTAAATCTAACCTCAATAACTTCCCGTATTTGCTCCTAACTCATTAAGAGTTAAGTCACGCAAACTTATATAACAGAAGTAAATACACAACACATAAGCACTTAATGAAACAATAGCCTTTAAATTGTAGAAGGAATAGTAATATCTGATCTATATTTGCCGTCAATAGCCACTGGACAAAGTTTCCTTTACTAAAGATGCCCCTAATTGGGAACTAACATACAATGCGGAAGGCCAAATTGGACAAGCACCAATCTCCAAATTACTATAATGAGTGAACCATGAGAACTCCAGCACCTAAAATTGATTTCTATTCATGCTTATTTCGCATAATTTCTCTCGAAAATTGCTATATGATATCTGATTTTCTGACAGTTCTGTACAATTTAGAGTGTTATCTACATCGCCTTATTTTCCATTTATTGATATTTCCAGTCTTTTGGTCTTAATTTCACATTTCATTACATGACCATCATTAC